ATGGTCGTCACTGAAACCGTTGAATTTAGTCGCCGAGCACTTTGAATATGCTACAGTTCCCAGTTAGTTATAAGACCTTCAAAATTTGAATGTGCTCTACTAACCTCCCATATCGCTAAAATATAGCCAGTCCCCAACATCTAAAACCTCGGGCAAAAAGCAAGATGCTGAAATGCAGTCAATTCCATCGCAGGTTGGTCCCCATACCGAGTACTTGATCAACTGCGAATCAGATGGCATTGACTCAAAAAAGTATTCGCCATTTCGTTTCAACACCTTCGGAATGGGCTTTTGGTGATCAAACATGATGCCGGAGAAATTTCCGTACACACCGTCGTTTAGATAGAGCATGTATGAGGCATCACGTGTGATGTTGTCGGCTGGTACGGTCCGTCGAGCAATAACGTGTGTCGCTATGGTGAAGGCGGAAGATACGTAATAACGACCAGGCTCTGCGATAACTCTAACGCTTGACGGGAAGTACTCATCAATCGCCGGTCCAAGGACACCTGCAATCTGCTCGAAATTGTCATTTCCATATCCACCTCCAACATCAAGAGTCCTCAAATCGAACCCAATTTCAGCAGCCTCGTCGAAAACCTGTCGCGCATCCTGGACTGCGGTCTCGAACGCTGTAGGATCATATGAACCAGACCCCACATGAAAGCTGACGCCGACTACATTCAATCTCAACTCCTTGGCAAGTTCCAAGAGATGGCGAGTACTGTCCAGCGGCGCACCAAACTTGAGACTCAGTCGGCACAAGCTCTTTGAATCGTCGGTGAGGATACGAAGAAAAAGGCGTGCGTGAGGAAAGAACTTTTTAATTTTATAGAGTTCTTCGGCATTGTCGAAAGTCATCTTTCGGACGCCATGTTCTGCTGCATAACGGATGTACGATGCGGTTTTGCATGGGTTGGCAAAGATGATACGTGACGGGCTAACACCGATATTCAAAACCTGTTGAATTTCTGCCTTCGAAGCACAATCAAAGCCGGTACCCAAGGCTGCGAGTAGCTTCAGAACTTTCTCATCGCCGTTACATTTAACAGCTAATAACAGTCAGTAACCAGGTAAATACAGACGCAATCGGAGAACCCCACCATAAAAAGGTTCAACCCGTGGCAGGTTTATCTTCCACCTCATATGCTGGCGATAAACTTCACCCAAATCGGCGACAAAGAAGGCGTCCTCAACTCCAGCCTCACACTCATCGGGATCAATGCTGTTAATGCGTGTCTGTAAGGCCTGGGAAATCAAGGCCTGGGCCAAGGGCTTTGTATTATTGTTTACGGAGCTGAAACGACGCTTAGATGCAGATGGCGTGGAAGTGGCCATTGCTGACGAAGAGATGGCAGAAGGCGCCATCGCTGGTGGGCACCTAGGCTGGAATGAAGGGTTTTCGGGAAAGGAGGAAATATCAACTGGTGACCAAGTAGACGTTTCAGAAGGACCCATTGGTGATATAATCAGATTAAATGTTTTCCAGAGTGGTATTACGGGATTTGTAGATTATGGGTGGCTTAATTAGAGATGCGTGAACTTCCTGTTAAGGTGGACGAAAACGAACACACTCGAAGTTAACTAAGGGCGACCGCCTCGACCCCTCCTCGTTAAGAGGAAGGAAACGATGGCGAGAACTATGCAGCAGGGGCGAAAATTGTGGTGGAAGAAGCTCCGGAGTCTTCAAACTAGCAACCCTTCGATCCTTGGACTTGAGAACGACTATGCGGCGGGGGGATGTTGTTGAGAATGTCCCTAGAGTGACGAGGGGAAACAATCTTGAGAGATACTCGGAGAATAAATCGACGAGCCGTTATGACGACGATGATGCCTTTGCTTATCAAAGGCAATTTTTGAAAATATGGAAAGAAAAAAACGAGGATGAGGGCTTCTTAAAGAAGAGCCGCGAAACTCAGTTGTGCATATACGCAGATTGTTTTATTTGTGCGACTGACGTTCCCGCTAGCGCTTGGTGTGGCTGATACTTAAATATTGAGTGGAATATGTCTGGGTGCAGAAGATATTATTTTAGTCTATTTCCTTTCCTAGACAATTCATGGACTTGCGCCCCGTTCCTGGCCAACGCACCGACTGATGGGGAGAGCGAGTTTGAGGAAGAGAGGTGTGGCGAGGGGAGGATTAAGCAGAAAGCCTACCTAGTAAAAGCAACCACAAGGCTAATGATATGCGTCAAGCGTATGAGATGGGATGGCCGCCTTGTGCAGAAAAACCTTCTTTATTTGACCTCGGACTGAGTACAGTGCACAAGTTGAACTGAGATGGAACACCACAGGGCGAGGAATTGAAGGCAGGTATAAATGGGAAAGACGCCGAATTATAGCCCAGAGTCAAAAATGATGATTGATGATACTAATAATGTCGATGATGAAAGATTGACATGACAGAAAAGAAGGAGAGAAGAAGAGGAGGAGCAGAAAAAACCCTGGTGGCCCAGTGGTGGGGAGGGTTAGTGTGTGTGGGAGTGACGGCCCTGGCACTGTCCTTGTTTGTCTCTTTTCTTTTTTCCCTCGTCCATTGCATTTTCATTTTCTTTTCGTTTCCCTTAAGACCCCTTCCCCTTTTCTCACGTTCTCAGACCTCCTCCCCTCCAATCGATGGTAATACTTGCAAACCAATCCTTAACATATGGTTGTCCCATGTACATGTTGTAAACAGCTAGTATCTACTATTGTGCCGGTAGCCTAAAACCGAGTGAATACTCGAGCTTCAAGGAAAGAGTAAAGTAAAAGAACATGACATGAACGAACATGCATGCTTCAAGTCACGCAGTGTGGCTAGTACTGAGATTTAATTCCCTCTCCGGTCACTGATTCCTCGAAACGCCATCCCCACTAGGCCATTCTTCAGTTATACACCTTTTCCTCCGCTCGTACCTACTCCACCGCCAACTGTTTCGTCCCTCCGGATCTTACTTGCCCCCCCCCCCCCCCCCCCCCGAATCTTCTAAATTATAGAACCCCACTCTACCTACTCACTTCTTTCCTCATACCCTGGTATCAGCTCAGCAGTAGGTACAGAGAGAAAGACAGAAAAATGTCATTTGTGAAGTAATAAAAATGTGAAATGTGAATTAGTGGCTCCACGGGATGCGGGAGACGATGAAGATCGATTGGTCACTAAACCTAGAGCACATACATACATACATACATACAGTACCTCATGCTCACTCCTCTACCAAACATTCACACATCCACTCTTTTCGTTGTGCCTGCATTTCTATGCCCTGCAGCTGGCTCGACCTGAGTGAGTAAATGTGCTGTACCTGTTTGTGCTCGGTTCTGTTTTTTTCCGCGAATGAATGATTACCGTTTTACCCGGGCGCAAGTTTATTCCATGGAAACAGACCAGACCTTATATGAGAAGGAAGTATCGATCGATGTGTTCAAACAACGATGCTTTGGAAACAACATTTTGACCCACTTGGTGTCCAACTGCTTTGTTGCGCACCAGGATACATACATGTACGCTTTAGCCCTTGGCACAAACCCACATCCAAGGATTGGGGAGATCTACCCTACAGAACCAAATGAAATTTTACATCTCCCGCTCTTTTCGCCGTTGTAAGACAGCATAGAATACGCAATATCAGTCACCTCTCCCCTATGGCTTTTCTTGTCTTTGCTTTGACTACAGTGGCAAAAGACGTACCATTGGGCCAGACATCATGGCCTGAATACCTACCTCCTGTACTTGATTGGTAAAGCACATCTCTTCAGTAACCCGACAGGTGTTGTTACTGAGGAAGCGAGAACAAGGTTTTTAACTCCTAATAACTAAGATGGTGTACCAGAAAGGTCTCAGTCATAACCGTATTTGGTCACCGAACCCGTGAGTCGCCTTCCAGAAGGCTGATGATCTACCGTGCAGCTTCTGGCAGCTTCAGCCTTCCTATGTAACGATTCACTCAAGACACCCCCTGTTTTAATTTCTTTTTCTTTCCTCCCATCTCGGCTTTTTTGTTGGGGCTACATGCCCGACGTTCTTTTAAGAGTTTCCATCAGGTCTTCCGGCTCGCGTGGCGACACACTTCCTTATTTAGCACGAATAACGGGGATCGTTGTCCGGCTTTTCGTCCCAAATAATCATTTTAGACAATCGCTTGTGTGACGGCCAGATTCTCGGGAAAATTTGACACCTTCTTCTGAATCGTTTGATCGAACTACGCCATTTTTCAAACCTCAATCATTGTGTTCCCGTGGCGCGGGGATCGGGCATGGAGCATATTCTCGGGAATGTCAGGAATTTCTCTGTCGGCATATGTTCCTGTATGGTTATATTGCGAACAGCACAACTACCAGCTTCTATGGTATTTCTAAAATTATTGAGCGCGCGCACTTGATCAACTGCTTCGGTTTTAGGTAGGGCCAGATAGAGTAGTACCATACATTGCATAGGGCCCAGTCTGTGTAGGTCATCACAGCACAACTGCCATTGGTATGGGACGTGCGTGCGCTTCAGCTATACATATATGCGGGACTTTTCTAATGGAAGTTATTGGAAGTTCTTTACGCCGAGCTGCAATCACCTTGCACCTCAGCATCCCGGCGTTTGACTTTGATTGAGCTCCAAAGATATAGCTGCATGAGCCGCTTTTCAACGCCCCGGGAGGCGCCAGGGGGATCCGTGATCTAGGTTCTCTACCAGAGTCTCATCACAACCGGGATCATAGGCTTTGTTGAAGACTTTGACATGCAAATGTTATTCATGTGCCTATACCGCACTACATGACATTTATATGTATCCTTGGCATCTGCGCGCCTTTAGCAGTCATCAACTCCCCCCTATCATCACCTTGAAAGTATAGATGTCCACCGAGATTTCAGTCTCCAGATTCCCATTGTGAAAGGCAACTCGATCCACCATCCCAAATATAGCGTTCATAAGCTCGAAGAAAAGGTCTTCGCTGTCGTGCCTCCTCTTATGCGCGAGCACAACCACCGTATCTGGTGATTTACCAACCAAACTTTTAAGAACATTCACCAAAGAATGCGCACTTGCTGTGTTGTATGTGCAATCAGCTATGACGATGATGTCCCAGCTCCGAGAGGCAAGGCCTTCCGGAATAGCCTGGTCCCAGTCAAGAACCCTGAATTCCACCTTTCCCTGGAAATTAGAATTATAATCCTCTATATTTTTCATCAGAATTTCCTCAGCGGAAGATAGATCAGTCATAGTCACGTGACACTTTTCATACAAAGCTGCCAGGCTGAGTCCAACAACGCCACACCTTGAAAAATAGAGTAAGTATCTCGCTGTACTGCTGGGATAATATCAAGAAACCTACCCACTCCCGAGTTCTAGAACCGTCAGCGTTTTTCTCGGGTTCAACTGGTTGTGCAAGGCGTTCAGTTTGTCTGTGCTAAAAACTTTACTGTCGGCATTCTGAGCAAGGTAGGCCGTTAAAGCTAGACCCCCGTCCCTACGCATCACCAGTACCGGTGAGCTACGTGTCTTGTTTCTTGATTTAAAAGATGTACCATATATGTCGGGCAATGCTCTCTCCGGTTTCCTCCCAGATCCTTAACGTTTTTGAAGGGCCAATCATAATCCTTCTCTGTACAAACTTCTCTGCTTCCTCCCCGTCTATCGGGCGGAAAGGGGGACTATAGGCAGTGATAACCTCGAGATCACCGTCTCGCGGATGGGATATGTCATCGGCCACAGGTGTTCCACCTGTGGTACTGGAAATGGCCAGTATTACAGAATCATAGGAGTTAAGTTTCGATGGAGCGACGTTCAGTTCGATTTTCAGAACTCTCATTCCTGTTTTCCAGTGGAGTTCCTTAGAGGCCAATACAAGCCTTGGGTCTCCACTCTCCTGATGTACTTCGGCGGTTATGACTGTATCTCGAAAGTAAAAATCATCGCCGAGATCTGATGTGATCGTAATCAAAGCTGAGACCGACCCGGTGCGGTTTCTAGGCCTAGCAGAATACCGAGGGGGCTTTAACAGTCGAATGTAATGCATGAGGAATAGATCTTTGATCCGGCACTGTGATTTCAACCCTTTTTGCCGTCTCTCTTATTCTTGTGTTGTTAGGATCTGAGCAATTATGTAACGTTTCGATTGTCGCCAAGACGCCATGTTTGTTGCTTGGCGTGTTTCTGCAATAGATCGATCATTACTTTATATCCAAGTATCACTCATCACGTCCACCAACACAACACAACACTGCACGAAGACCATCCACCCACCATCCACCGATACCCACGGGCTCAACAACTCTCAATGGCAATACAAGAATCCGTCGTGACCGATCCCTCGCTCCGGGAGTGTCTGGCAGTGGTGGAGCGTACCCGTCTTCTGTGTCATGAGCTCTTAATGGCGATGGAAAGCAGCGGGGGTGTCGCTGAGCCTTCCGAAGACGATCGAATCAGCCGGTCCCGCAAACACAAACTTCTCAATGCGCTGATGACACAGCTGAAGAGCCTACACCGTGCGGCCATCATGTCCGCCCGTGAGGCGAAGGAAACAACGAGCGAGGTTCGTAGGGAGGTGGACAGGCTTCATCTGCAGCTGCAGAATCTCTACTATGAGCAGAGACATCTGCGGGGAGAAATCAATGCTTGTAGAGATTTTCCGTGTGTATTCCAAGATTTGAACCGGTGACGGGGGAGTACTCATCTTGAACTGACGGAATGTAGGCACAAATACACCTTATTACCACTGATCTCTAAGGAAGAGTTCTTAGCTTTGCACCCTGAACACGCAGAAGACGATTCACACAACCTAATGATAGCCCGGCTAAATAACGAGAAGGCTGTTCGTGAAGACCTAGAGAAGCAAAGAAAAGAACTAGTTGCGAAAAAACAAGCTCTGATTGCCGAGAACAAGAGGCGCAAAGAGGATCTAGCGAGTTTGGATGAGCAGTTGAAGAAATTTAGTAAGGACCCTAGCTACTTGTATCCTAAAGATAGCGCACTCGCTAACCAGTTCGTGAAGTCGAGGTATGTTGCGCTTATATCGGCACCACGTGTTCTCACAACGTACTAATCCTCCCATAGTCGTCAAGGCCCATTCAAACAACGTTCCAAAAAGACTACTGATAATCTTCCAATCACTGACCAAGTTCTTCCGCATACCCGCCACTTGTGTCAGTTGTGCCCTTTTACTTTCTTTCTTTTATAGTCGTTTAGGGGCTTGGCAGTATATTTAAGTGCGCACTTTGCAAAGCTCGAATAATTTAGGTCCTATAGTAGTGATTGGGGCCGGTATAGAGGTAGTTCTAGACGGTTATGGGAGTTATACTTCTCCTATAGGGCGTATACGCTTATGCGGCTTGCGCTCACTCCCCTCCGAGCTGGCCGACGTTAGCGATTGGAGTTCGCAACATCGCCTGGGTGGGAATACCTTTTGGGAATTAAATTCACAACCAAATTCTCAAATCTGTGGCAGAATTTTGGTGCATATATAATTTCTCTCGTGATACCACATAAGTATTGGACTTTGGTAGTACCTCTGTACCCAGCCCCGGCCCCATAGGCAGGCATAACTCCAAGCCACAGTGCACCTGCATCTTGTCAGGACCTCAAAGTCCCAGCCGCAAGCAGGTCCAGCTGCAGTCTCCTACTATGCGAGTAGGTAGAGTAGAGTACATGTACCTATATGTCTATGCCTAGAGTAGATACTTATTTGTACTGCCCATTACCTTATCCGGAGATCGACAGATCGCTGTCACCAGATCTAAAATACCCTGAAAAGCCATCTACTCTACTCTCCCTACATGTAGCTACGTACCTCCAGTAGTGACCCTACCTCACAAACACCAGCACACAAACAAACCCCCATCCAAAAAGAAAGAAAACAACCCAAGGGCCAAAAGACGATTTCCGATTCAGAACACGGCCAACAGATTGTTGCCGATTTTAATCGAAGGCGCCGCCGTGGTTGAGGAGAGTGCCCCGCATATATCGTGGGCAGGGGGAGGGGGCGTTAACATGTTATTACTCTAGAGTACTGAGCTGGAGTGCATCAGCGAGAGCGGGAGGTGCCATGACGTTCAAAACCCTACCCTGTCTTGTAGCGACAGTCCCATATACCCTAGCGCTACTGTACTCTACCCTACCACTGCATCGCATCCCAATTAAACGAAGGATCATATGTGATGAAAAAAAGATTTCGATACCGCCTGACCAGCAAAAAAATTTCTTCATCATCGGACGAAGAGTGCCCAAAGAAGAAAAAGAAAAGAGAATGCAGCAGACAGCAGGAGTACTCACAGCCACAGCCACACACGGACAACCGGATGAATTGATCATTGATAGCTGTTGTTGCGTTGCGACAAGCTTTTTATTTTCGTGAGGGTGTGATGTTGTGAAGTCTTGGCGGTGGGTTTGGGTATCGTGACACAGCGCAACGGGGTTAGGGCTGGGTGGGATGGGTGGTGGTCAATGATCGTTTGGCTGTTAGTGCGAGAGTGTGAGAGTGCACGAGCAAGGAGGTGTTTGAAATGTGTTTCTGTTTGTTTTAGCCATCGGTGATATGGAGCAGTGTTTAATTGCTCGGGCTACATGGAATTAACATTGTCGTCACTCTATATATAGAGAGGGCAGAACACTGCGTTATCTTACGTACTCCGGATCCCACTGCGATCTCCGTGTAGATCTCAATATCAAATGTAGGTAGAGACAGAGTACTGCTGTACGGCATGCGTATACGTGACTGTCAGCTACGTATACTGCAACTGCGTACTGATGGCGAGGAATAGGTGGCATGACAACCTGTCTTCAATATTCATGCCGTATAAACCTAGAAACTCTAGTAGTCCTATTAATATATTATCTTCTTCCTTTTCATCTAATCGCCTGGCCATTTGGAACACACAACGCCTTACAGTACCTACTCTAATACCTACTTATCTGCTCTGCACATTCCATCAGGCAGAAGACGTTGATTTTGTTTTGTTTCAAACACGCCCACCCGCCCACCCATGTCTGCATCCTACTCTACCGGATGGAGGTCGAGTAATCAATAATCCGCCCGCCCCCTTCACGTGCGGCGGCGGCAGCGGGCTCTGAATTAAGCTTTCCCTCCACCCCTATATATCGTGAGACAACCTGTCTGTTGGTGTTTCTGTACATATCTCGGGGGTGATACGGTGTGTGACACGTGCTGTTTGACGTATACTAGCCAAGCGGGGGCGCGGGGGACTCGGGAGAGAGAACTTAACTTTACTCTATCGTGGTCGGCATGCACGAAGTGACGTTGTGTTTGTGGGGAAGACACGGCGTTGGGTTGGGGAGGTACATAAATTTCAGTCAGCTTGACTCAGCTCAGCTGAGCCTGAACGAAATGTTCAATGGCTACGGATAAAGTCGGTCTAACGGTTCTGCTGTGGGTATTGTGGGTGGTGATCTACTCTACGTTGATATTGATATTGATATTAAGGATCCAAAATGCCGCCGGTGGGTGCTCCTTCCATCCATCAATCCCATGCATACATACCTATCTGCTATGTATTCACAGATGATGTAGCTACATTACGCCGGCCGGAGGTGTATACCGAAGTCGAAACCATATCACATCATACTTATCAGGCAGCTCAGAATTCTACAGGACCAACATCCAGCCAGATAAAGACCGGGAATTTCTCAATTGGGCCGGCCCCGTCCGTTGACGTTAGTTGCCGACTTGCCGCGTTCAATCAATTACATACATCAAGCACCTCCGGCTTGCTCATACCAGCTGAGTTGCCAAGAATGCATATGTTGTCGATCCAAGTAGGGCTGTGGTCTGCACTCTACTCTGCTCCCCAGCCCCAGGTAGAATAGACAGCCACACGTGGAGGTGCTGCGCGAAAAAAAAAAGAGAGAGCCTAGAGCCAGAGCTGAGTGAGTCTTGCATCCCCAGCCAGGGCCAGGCCAATTAATTACCTCGGTGCGCCGTTCATCCCATCCCTCCATCCCATCCACCATCCCAACCCACAGCTACGTAACCAGTCACATCACATCACACCCGCGGCATCCCAAAATTCCCTCTCTCCTGCTTGCCTCGCAATTTTTTTTTTTTTTTTTTTTTTTTTCACTCCAAACCCTGCCACTGTGCCAGGCCGGGGGTTTCTCCAGGGAAGAAGGGCAATTACGTACAAAGAATCTGTTGTGGACCTCTGCAATCTCGATCCTGGACGATGACGATAGCAATTGGTGTTTGTCATGTCAGAGGTTGGGCTGGCTGGCTAGGGTTAGGTGTGGTATGGTGTGGTTGCTCGCGAGTAGATTACTCTAGGTAGATGACTCTAGGTAGATGAGTGGATGAGTGCTTGCTTAGTCAGCTGCGCGTATTACTGTTTCTCACCTCACAGATGCTCACTCACTCGCTGATCACTCGCTCGCTCGCCCAACCAGCAAGCAAGCCGAGACGGGTGATAGCGCATGACCCACCACGCAACCCTCTCCCCAGCGCAACGCAACACAAACATTATCCCGAGATTAAAGTAAAGCTCGGGCCATAGCGACTGCCCCGTTTCGAAACACTTGTCCGAGATGATGATCTCCCTGCCCCCCCCGCGGATCCCTGCAATACGTGGCCTGCCTGTCTGTCTGTCTGTCTACTGTTCTGTGCTGTTACAGAGATGGGGCCGGGAACGGGAACGGGAACGGGAACGGGGAAGGGGAAGGGGAAGGGGAAGGGGAAGGGGAAGGGGAAGGGCAAGGGGAAGGGGGCTCTAATCTTAAAACCTCCCTCCCCTTCGGAGGTCCGTGTCGGTAGGTACATGTAGCTAGCTACTCTACCGAGCGGACGGTTGTATCGGCCGGGTTGCCGGTTAAGTAGCATAGCATACCAGCCAGCTGGCCAGCTGGCCAGCTCTGCTCTCCTGCTCCGAGCTCGTGCGGTCAGAGCAATAATCTGTGAAGAACAAAAGCTGAGCATGAGCGCCTCTTCTACAGCTAGCTAGCTAGCTATTTAGCTAGACTACACAGAACAAACCCGCGCCGGGCTTACAGGGAAGGGAGGGCGTCATGAAACGCATGCTGTGCGGGCAGACGTTTCTGAATCCCCCCGGGCTCGGACTACAGGTATCTGTGGCTCGGTTCGGGCGTAAGCTACTGTGGCACTTGTAAGCACGGGTGGCGCTGTCCTCCGGCATCGAGGTCGGACTGTACCGCTATTAATATTACTTGCGGACATCCGGGCGGGCGGGCGAGAGGGTGCATAGCGCAGGCATAACGGACGGCGGTATGGCGACGTCGGGGGTGTGGGAAGAAGAGAGGACGGTCGTATATAGAGCTATAGGAGCTATGGACATGTGAAGATGAGCGGTCTGAAGCTGGCGGTGGGATACGGACACCCGGGACCTGAGGGAGCAACTACATGTACACGTCTATGTTATATTCTAGAGCTGTGATTGTGCAGTGATTATATTATCCAAACGATCAACATACTATTAGATACATGTATATAGGAGGTACATGTGTGTTCCGTGACGACTAAAAGGCTAATAAAAGTTGATATTAATAAAATCGCTCTCCTCTCACATTACAAAACAGGGCACAAACAAAAGCTATCACAAGCTGCCGGAACGGTGTTACAAGGTCCCAAAGCTGTCTAGCAATTAATCCTCACGACAGAAAACAGGAAAAAAAAAGCCATTCTATAAATGTATGCTGATGCTGTATCACGGAAAGAGAAACGGGCCCAAAAGACCCCATGCAAACAATCTACATCTACACCGCACCCGCCCCATACACCACCTCCCTCCACCCCTCCATCCCAAACTCCCCCACCCTCCTCTCCATCCCCTCCACGCCCATATCCCTCAGCACCAACTCAAACTCGCCAAAATAGCTCTCCACCTCACTCTTCTTCACGAACCCCACACTCTCAAACAGCTTCAAGCTCCTCTCATTCCCGCTCCCAATCTTGACCCTCAGCGCCTCCAACACGCCCACCCCCGGCTGCCCCCACTGCTCCATGATCTCCCCCTGATGCACCAGCACATATGCAAGGAACAGCAGCAACGCCCCCCTTCCAAGCCCGCGCCCGCGGTGCGCCTTCTCCGCAACCATGATCTCGATCTCGCCGACGGCCACCTGCCGCGCCTCGCCGCTCGCGTCAACCTCCGTCTCGCTGTCCTCGAGGTACAGGAAGAGGTTCACGTCGCCGATCATGCGCGCGGGGCTGTCGTCGACGGGGCTGCCGGGCGTGGCCGGGGGTAGGCACACGATGAAGGTGAGCTTGTCGGCGTCTTCGCGCCATTTGCGCTGCATTTCGTATTCTTCGATGAGGGTGAGGCGCTCCGAGGCGGTGGCTTCGCGGATGTCCTGGAGTTGTGCCCGCAACCATCGGTCAGCACTCACATATGCACATGCACACTCCCTCTCGATCTGGAAGGGCAGCGTAGAATACACATACCTCATCCTCCATCCACGCGCTGTACGTCTTTACATGGTGCGGTTCATACGGCACCAGGAGTACCTTTGAAGAGACAAGAGCTATAAGGGGTAGCGGAGAAGGGGGGGGGGGGTCAATCAGCCGATATTCACACCCATCAACCCAGGGATTTGGGGGCACGCGTACCGGTGGTAGCATTGAACCTCATGATTCAACAGAGCAGTATCAATGGCCGATATTGAGCTTTGGCCGGCGTTTCCCGGGGGTGAAGGAGGTGATGTGCTGCGTGGGTTAGGGTTTGAGAAGGTAAAACAACCTAATCCAGGCTTGGTAATCTGGGCCTTTTCTGTTTTTGTTTTAGGGGGGTGTTTCAAGAAAACGAGAAACTTTTGGCGGAGGGTGGGAAGGGGATGAGGAGGGGTGAGGGCGAGGGCTTTTTAGGGGATTTGGGGGGTGCTCCTCCGGGTGTGGGGGTGGTAAGCTGGGAGGGGGGACTGGAGGGTTTTGTATACGCCCGGAGGTACCCCTATTATGAGCTCAGGAATATGTTACTAAATATACGGGATGTTTCAGGAGTTATCTCGAGGCGTTTGTTGCGGATCAGGATTTTGGTGGATGTAGTAGGTGGTGGTGGTCGAGTGATATGTTATGACGCATCAGTTTAGCCTTTTTTTTTTATTTTTTCCCCTTTAATTCTGCATCGGTTTAGCTGGAATTCTAATATTTCCGGAGACTTGGCTAACATCTTCAAGGATAGATTTTGGAACATTTTTATAGTTTTTATCTGTGAATAGATCCCGTTGAGGCTGGCGGGATGCCGGCGAGTCGAGGCTTAGAAATGGTTATTGGGATTAACCAACTAACTATGCCCACTGCAGACCGCTGCGAGCTGAAAGGTGCCGTAGTGGGACTCTTAACATTCTAGCCGTGGATGGATGGTTCTTCTTTTGACATACATATATCTAAAAGCGGCCTGGCCAGAGTCTATCAGCCAACTATATAGCTATATTTACAAAACAAAAACAAGACGGACACATTGCCGGTATAATAATGATAGTGAATTGATTGCACTGCTTAAATAAGTGCTAATATATCCTTTCTGCCATTCTATATTGATCTGGCATTTATATAAGGTTTTACAGTGTGGTAGTTTTATCCTCTTTTTTGTGTATTGAGTCTTATGTGATGTCTGTCTCGAACCCCTCATAGCACCTCGAACCAACCTTTCCAATGACACGGTCTATAGAGAAATTTGTCAAATCTATCATTACCTACTCTGGTCCATCCAGGGATGGCTGGTCTGTCTGTCTGTTTAACTAGGAAAGTTTGTTAGACACTCTTTCCAGGTGTGAGATACAGTGTTATCAGCAATTAAACGGTAGCAACAGGAGAGATAGAGCAACTCGGGCCTGGGCGGGTTTGAAGATGAAATGAGCAGTAGCCAGATCAGATAGGTTTTGGGTGCCATGGAATGAGTCTGTCCGTCCAGTCCTTTTTAGCTGACGTGGACTACTAGGTTACTAGAGGAATGTTCAAACATGGTTAC